GATATGTTCATGTTCTTTAGAGACAAACAACATTTAACAAATTGTTGAGAAATATTGAAACCAGGAGCATGAGTAAGACATTCAACTGAGTCTGTTTTGCTATTCAGTATATTCGTGGGTAATCCTTTACCTCACTGCTTCCACCCCAGATCTCCTGATGCTTTGCATCTTGAAATCTATCTATTTCTTTCTTATATATATTTATTGACATAGTTTCCATCACCTTGTGTGGTGGAAGCTTCCATAGGTACATCCCCCTTTGAGTGAGGAAATCTCATTTCTGGCCAAAATGGTTTACCCTGTATCCGGAGACTGCAACCCTTTGTTTTAAGCCATCTGCTCCCCTAGTCAGAGGGAATTTCATCCATACATCCAGTCTCTCCAGCCTTTTCAAAGTTTTGCACGTTTTAAGTGAGGTCCTGTCGCTGTTGCCTATATGGACTTGAGCAAGGCCTCTGACAAGTTCCTCGTGGCCAGCTCATTACAAAAGATGAAGTCATGTGGGATCTGCGGTAAGATAGGTACACGACTGGCTTAGTCATAGAAGACAGAGCACTGGTGGAAGGGAGATTTTCAGACTGGAGAATATGTGAGTAGTGGTGTTACACAGAGATCGGTGCTGGGACTACTGTTGTTTGTAATATATTTATAAATGATGTGGAGGAGAATGCAGGTGACCTGATAAGTAAGTTTGCAAGTGATACAAAGATTGGGGGGTGCTGTGAATAGTGAGGAAAATTGCTAGAGGATACAGCAGGATATAGAAATGTTGGAGATTTGCGCAGAGAAATGGCAAATGGAATTCAATCCAGACAAATGTGAGGTGCTGCATTTTTAGGATATCTAATTCAGGAGGGAAATATGCCGTAAATGGCAGAACCCTTAACTGCATCAACATACATGGGAATCTAGGAGTACAGGTCCACAGTTCCCTAAAAGTGGCAACACAGTGGATAAAGTTGTCAGAAAAGTATTTGGCACGCTTGCAGTCTTCAATCATGACATGAGTATAAAATCATGACTCAAGAATCATGAGTATAAAAATTAGCAAGTCGTGTTGCATCTATATAGGATTTTTAGTTAGGCGACATTTTGAATATTGTGTACAGTTGTGGTCACCACACCACCAAAAGGATATAGTGGGTACAGATATAATTTACCAGTATGTATTGAGTGGGAGAGGCCAGAGTGCCAGGTGGGGCTGTGAGCCCAGTGGGGTGTTGTTATCTAGCAGTTGTGCCTGATTGAATGCTGAGTGCGGTGGCAGGGTGGTCCAGAGCACCAGTGTTGGGCTAGATGGATGGGTCAGTGCACTGGGCAGGTCATTGTGGGACTGCCGGTGTAAAAATAATAGCAGTGCTGTGAATCAGCTGAGTGTGGCTGACTGCCTGTTCTGGGTGCACAGCAAAGAAATCAACACTGTTGACTTACTGTTGCAGTGCTGTGGCAAGAAGTAGTTGGCACACTTTAAAATGGATCTCGTTTTTAAACCTTTTTTCATAACCCAAATTTGAGTCATTTAAGATAGTCAATTAACTTTTAAAGATTAATTGACATTTTATTATGGCAATTGAAGTCTTGGAAGCTTAGAGCCAACAGGAATAGGTGAGGATTTCAGCAACAAATCAGTTAAAGTAGAACCGTGAGTAATGGTGCAGGTGGGTAATCAATAAATGAGAATGAGCTATATTCTGAAATATATAAACTTGTATAGCCCTCAGAGAATGCTTCCTTCATCAATTTTTTTTTAATTGATTTTAGTTTGAATATTGAAATACATGTCAAAAGCTACTGCATCTTCAATTTTGAAACTGGTTGGAACTAGGTTAAAAACTTTTTTTTCTGTATATTTAAAAATTGGATTGATAAGGTGCTTGGGAGACAAACAAGTTGAATCAGGAAATAAGTCTTCGACCTTTGGTCTTGTCTAAAAAGTAACTTTAGGCTATATTTACACGGGTTTGGAAACAACTGGAAAACTCCATTTAAGTGATTAAGCTGAAAGCTACATTAGCTTTTCATGAGCAAACTGTAAAATCCATACAGCACTGCACACGTCACAAAAGCTGTGTGTCTAGAGCTAGTTATGGTTAATAAAAATCCCTGGTTGTGTTGAACTTGTAGAATTCTAGTTTCTTTTACAGTTTTTTCATTTCCATGATGATGGAACTAAAATTGTGTATCTAATTCATTTGGCAATCAGTACTGAATACTCTTCAACTGTTGACTGAAGTTTATTTTTTTGAGGATTGGATAACACTGACAGGAGTGTTTTCCATCCTTGAGGGCACAGAATTATCCAAAAGTGTGGGTCAAGTTTCCTGTAAGGTGGAAAAATTCTATTTGGGTTCATTCAACAAGCCAGAAACTTTGGCTGCCTTTCTGGTATCAGTTCATCAACTTATTAAAACAGGACAGTGAAATAATGTTATGGAGGTGAGTGATCAATAAATTTAGTCAACTTGATTTTATGGCTTGCCCAGTGAGATTTTTAAACACTTTTTTTTTTTCTCTGGGCTTGCCTGTCAAGTATCACAACCACTAGACTACTGTACCTGCTGAGGGAAGGGGTGATGCACTGAGTTAGTTTAATCATCTATAGGATGAGACCTTCAGTCAATTTAGCTGTTTAAAGTTGAGCCTCTTAGTGAGTGACAGGGATCCTGCTCAGGCCAAGATAATACTCCTAAGCAGAGTTTCTGAATTCTTCCCTTCCATGAGCAGAACCTTATGACTCAGCTAAACCAAAGTGAAGTTAAGATGCAACGAACATTTATAGAAAATAACTCCTTTGCTGTTCCCAAGATATTGTTTACTGTCATTTTGTTAGTAATCATTGCTGATGCCATAAAATACTATCATGTGTGCAGCTGCAGCAATTCGTTTGTGTGTCATGTTGAGTGTTAAGCTCTTATTGCAGGTTAACATTCAGCTGCTGAAAGTATTTCAAGTTTGCTTGTTTATTTGACAACATTATAAAAATAACCCCCGTGGGACTATTTTGTGATATTTTAGAGCTGTTTTGGGAAGTGATAAGGAATTTAGAATCTGTGAAAATCTAGGTTGTATTGCACAGGACTGTTTGCTTAAATTTATGAAAAAGATCTTGACCACGTGGAGTATTGAAAAGGAAAACAAGAGGAACAAATCCAGACAGATCTAACCATTGCTAAAGTGAGTAAAAAACATTCTGTGAGAACATATCTTCAATCTGTTGTGAGGTTTTCTTCAGAATTTTGTGACACCCTTCATGAAATCATGATCATAGATCAAATATCTGAACAAATTCTGTTGTTCTGTTATCTTTATTTTCTAAGAAGCTTTATTGAATGACCAGAACTATATTGTTTTAACAATAACACAGAACTAATGCACTTCTCAAGAAACAATTAATTTTATTTTATATACAGTAAAATCTACAATGACTCTCAACAGTTTTAAAAGGTATAGTTCTGTTGGGCAGAGAAGTAAATATGGTTGATGCCCATTATTTTGGATCGATTTTAATGGGAAATAAAAATTCCATTTATGAAAACACCTCCAAGAAAGATGAAATTTATCTAATTGTCAAGAATTTGTTATTTGTCATGAATTTGTATTGTGATGCTCGTATTTATTTCAGAAGTTACAATGACAACCTATTCCACAAAGTATTAGTGGTCACCTGTCAAATCTGGGATCAGAGTTCAAGCCCAGTCCCTTTGCTTTATTGATTCTAATGGATCAATGGGGAATGAGTTTAGATTGTTTCAAACCAATTATTTTGTTGGTCATAGCATTGTTGTTCCTAGCTGGTCTGTACTGGCCAAAGGATAGCTGTGACAGGATATTCACACTGATGCATAATGAATACTTAGTGAAAATTGGAGAGTGAATTATCTTTATTCACTTAACTCAACTCCATTCCAAAGTACTATTTGCTGATCCCCATTATTGGAAAACCTGTTATCCAGAACTTGTGCCATACACCCCTCCTGTCTGACTCGTCCTTCTCCACTGTTTTCCAAACCTCTTTCAGTGATGTCCAAATCTAATCTGGTCCATACCAAATCTCTCCTATCTCGGTTGTAATCTAGACCACATTGGTTCTTAATGATGATCTCTTTGCCATTCCTTGCTTTTGAGAGTTTATGACTAATGTGCTCCCTTCCTCCTTAATGTCTAGAAGCATAGTGAAATATTGCTGTTTAAGATGATGTATAAATGCAAGTTTCTAAACTCTGCATCTAATTATGTAGTAATTGACTTCAGAGTAATTAGTGGCCCTTTTCAGAGCTTGAAAAGGGGAGAAAAACACTTGGAAGACTTTTCAGCAGTAAGGACCAGAGCAGTAGTTGCAAGCAGATCTGATTAATACAACCTTCTGTCTAGGATGTGAATCTCACCACTTTCTTGCAGTAAATTACATACCATGTACTTCCAAGAGAAAATTGGTTCAACTTGTTTTGGTACTGGAGCAGCTGGCTATCCCACTCTAACTGCCTGGTATCTCTGGGGAAATGCTTTTGCCAAAATTCTGCATAGAAAAGTGTGAGCTATGGTGGTGAACATTTAAGTGCTGGAATAATAACCATGGAAGACACAGCTTCCTCACTCATTTTGAAGATTCACATTAATGGGTGCCAGCTGTAAAAAGATTTACATTTGTGATGGGGATGCAAGCTTGTCTCCCTAAAGCATGGTGCTGGGGAAGGAGGTACATTTTTTTTTTTTGTTGTCCTGAACCCAATGGCTCAGGCATTACTTTGCCCATCAGCCTGCAGTGAGAGTTTGTTGGGAGTTTCCCTGGCAGTACCCAAATTTCATATCGACACGAATGCAAAATATTAAGAATTGATCCTGCTCCTCTGCCTTTAATATTCACAAATATAATTTTGAGTGGATTGCATTGAAATTTAAAAAAAAGTCTTTAAATCTTGGCTCTTGAATATCTATAAAAAAGGTGACTGTTTCCCAGCATCTTAGAAATTACAAATCCTTGTTCAGTAAAGCAGTCTTCTTTACACAGAGCTAATTTGTTCTAGCTTCTCAGTCCTTATATCAGATGGGGTGATAACTTGCCCATTATGACATTCAGCTCCACAAGTTACAGTTTTTACTGTCTCCATCTTTACTGTAAGAGTCTCTGCTTGCTTTCTTGCCTTGTATCGACGTGCTGTGGGTTCCAGAAACAGAGAAACAGAAGACAGCAAGTAGCACACGCCAGCCAGATAAAAAGAGCAGTCGTAGGTCTGTGTGTAGTCATATAGCCAACCTGCAAAATTTGCAAGACATAGACAGTATGACAAATACAGCACCTGTATAACTGCACTTATCTATTAATAAACCCATTATCTTGAACCCACCTAAACCTCTCTGAAACCTTTTGTGTTTATACTTATTACACAGAGGTGGATTATGATCATTCACTGACAAACCAACAGCTTCACCAGTCCCAGTTAAAATGTCTGTGTAGCTGGTTAAGGGCTATGCAAACCATCAAAAGTGAGGGGGTGATAGGGACACAGGGAAGGGATTAAATCAAAATGGAGTTTGATGGGGAAATAAAACACTGTATCCTTCCTACTCTCTCAAGGCATCGACAGCATTGAGGTCAACACCATGTGTTTCTTCTGCAATGACACCTGGCACTGTGGAAGAGGGCCTGATGAGGGCAGAGATGACATGTTCTGAGTGAGCAAACCTAACTGAGTCTTGGCTAATCAGATCACTTTTTGGAATACAACTATCCTAAAACATGTACCATGAAATACTACCTCTATAAAATCAGTCTGCAGATCATTCTCCACTCGACCCTAAGTCCATTTTTATTTCAAAAACCCGACGTTGCTGGAGAAACTCAGTAAGTCTGGCAGCATCTGTATAGAGAAACAGAACTAATTCTTCATTGAAACATTGACACTGCTTTCATTGATTTGACACAGATGCTGCCAGACCTGTTGAGTTTCTCTAGCAATTTATTTTTGTTTCAGATCTCCAGCATTCATAGTTTGTTTTAATTGTATTTTTAATTTCATTTACCTTGCTTTTGGTGTAAAAGCATTTTTATCAATCCAGCCTTTAACAATGATCATCAGCAGTGAAGCAAAGATTCCAGTTCAGGCTGTGATCTAATTTCTTGCTTACAGAACTCAGTACACTTTTTGGTCATAAAAGCATAAAACAGGTTGAAACAAGAAATGCTGTACACACCCCTTGTTCATGAAATCCCTTTGACATAAGACCTCACATCTTATAGTCCCCACTTGAATCACTCCCCACACCCTACCAGCTAAAGATGCCACCACCTCTTGATGACCCACCTCCTGGCTGACTGCAAATATCACCAACTACAAACTGGTAACTGACCTGACTAGTCAAGCCCTATTTACAATATTCCACAGAAAATGTGGACAATTCTGACAATTACTACTTTTGAGGTCCTTTTTTCTTCTTTGAATTTATGTCCTAATTCCCTATACTTGGCTTGTAGAATGTCACTGCTGCCAGAGGTTCCAGCACACCTGCTCCAATTGCTTGGACCCCTCTCACTATCACCACCTACTGCTGGAGATCCCATTACACACTTTCCTGCTTGAGACTTTGAACATAAGAACTAGGAGCAGGAGTAGGCCGTCTGGCCCTTCGAGCCTGCTCCGCCATTCAATAAGATCATGGCTGATCTTTTCGTGGACTCAGCTCCACTTATCCGCGTTCTCACCATATCCCTTAATTCCTTTATTGAAACTGCACATAACACGAGATAACAGTCAGTGTGCTGTGACAGTGACAGAATTATTTCACATCCTTGAAATGGATAAATGGTAAGGGTTGGTTTGATAGCCAGGATATGCACGAGTACGTTTTCAGTTTTTTATTAGTACTGATACCTTCCAAGTTATTCAGGTTCTGTGATGGATCACTCACATTGAGGTCTAGGGTGCTCAGATCTTTGGAAGTCACACAGTGAGTGGCACTTGCTGCTTCAGATTTCCACCTCCTGACAGGTCATTCTTGTATTTTCCTGACCGGGAGTAGGTCTCCCCAAACTGGATACAGCCCTTTGATTCAGACGCAGATCACTCAAGTATACCTCGTTGACTCAAATTCACTCAAGCCATCATACTTAAGGTTCAGCAATTCCACTGAGTGAGCTGCTTACCACCAAGTATTCCACCAAGCTTTTGACCTTAGGCAACTTCCCCTCCCTCCGAGCCAGTTTCTGAGACTCCCCTCCAGCTGGTCATGCAGAGCATGGTTGAACAGTTCACACTGTTCATTACCTTCTGGTTTGTCCTGTTTAGTGTTATTATCCAATCATAGATAGCAAGAACTGCAGATGCTCTACATCGATGAAACCAAGCATAGACTTGGAGACCATTTCATAGAGCATCTGTGCTATGCATAAGACAAACGACAACACCTTCTGGTCGTGAACTATTTTAACTCCCTTCCCACTCTCTGGGTGACATGTCCGTCCTGGGCCGCCTCCAGTATCACAATGACACCACCTGCAAATTGGAGGAGCAGCACCTCATATTCTGCCTTGGGAGCCTACAGCCCACTGGTCTAAACATAAAATTCACCAGTTTTAAAATCTCCCCTCCCTTGGCCTCATCCCATGTCCAAGCCTCACTCTCATCCCTGCCTCCTTGACCTGACACCACTGTCCATCTTCTCTCCCACCTATCTGCCCCACCCATCCCACTGACCAATCCCCACCACTAGCTACTTGCAATCACCTATTCCATCCCACCTACCTTCCCCAGCCCCACCTCTACTATTTATTTCTGAGATCCTTTTCCCCTCCCCATTTCTGAAGAAGGGTCACAACCTGAAACGTCAACTTTCCTGATCCTCTGCTGATTGGCCTGCTGTGTTCCTCCAGCTCCACACTGTGTTGTCACAAACTAATCATATATTGACACTGGCTAGAGTTGAGGCTTTTTTGTAATGGATGCATAAACTTGATGAAGACATCAGTGGGTAGATAAATGTGTTCAATCCCACAGCTACAGGGATCAAGGACCATAAAATCTATTGCAAGGGTCCCTTGAGTTTTCTTCGTAACCAGGGATCCTGTGCTGGGGTGAAGTCATATCCTGGCTTCGGCAAAAGTCCATCTCTCACATTTTTGAAAGCAGTCATCAATATCAAAAATATTATAAATAGCAAGGGGAAATCATGCTTGACAACTTTTTTACAGTACCTTAAGGTGGTAACATACAGGATAGATAAAGAGGAACCAGTAGATGTAGTATATCTAGATTTTCAAGAGGTGTTCAATAAGGTATTTTGCATAAGGCTACTTAACAGCCCCTGGTGTTGCAGGTAGTATATCAGCATGGATAGAGAATTGGCTAACTAATAGAAGACAGTTGGGATAAAGGGAGCATTTTTGTGATGATAACTAGTTGAATGTCACAGGGTTCAGTGCTGGGGCTACAATTATTAACACTATTCATGACTTGGATAACTTCAGTAAGGTGTTCGACAAGGTTCTGCATGGTAGACTGGTTAGCAAGGTTAGATCACGTGGAATCCAGGGAGAACTAACCATTTAGATACAAGACAACAAGGTGCAGGGCTGGATGAACACAGCAGGCCAAGCAGCATCATAGGAGCAGAGAGGCTGACGTTTCGGGCCTAGACCCTTCATCAGAAAAGGGGGAGGGGAAGGGGGTTTTGAAATAAATAGGGAGAGAGTGGGAGGCGGATAGAAGAGGGATAGAGGAGAGGATAGGTGGAGAGGAAACAAACAGGTCGAAGAGGCGGGGATGGAGCCAG